ATATAATTATAAACATATACTTTAACAACAAGAAAATAATTATCAACGGTGGAACATTTTAAAATTTATTGTAATTTTATGAATGTTTATATTACTTTAAATAAACAAGAATTTTAAACAGTTGTTTATTTGTTTTAATAATTTCTATTTTTATTATTCCAGCATTTTCTATGAAAACTCAATAATTACAAAAAAAAAAAACTGGCCTCCTAATTTTTTCCCGTAAAAACCAACAAACCCGGCCGTGTATTTATAGTAGGCCATGGTTAACCAAACAACTTTTTTATAATAAAGTTTTTGTAGCGGGTTATACACCATTATACGCCCTTTTAGGAATAGCCCTGTTGCAGTAATGCGATAAACAAATTAATGCATAAAATTCAGAAAAAGCTCTAATAGTCGATGAACGCCAAAGATTTCAAGCGTTATTTACCGTCGGGAAAGAGTTAAACGAGAAAAACAATTCTCAGCAAAATAATGATAGATACATTCAATTCTTTTATTTGTTTTATAAACTCTAATAATATTTACTCCCGTCTAGAAGGCTTTACTCCCAACAAGAAGAATAAACAGAAAAACTTCGGTAAGGTAAAGTTAAAAACTAATCTTTTCATTTTTGAGTCTGCTCTTACCCGCTCTAATAGCCTTAAAAATTTTTGGCCATTAGAGCGGGTATTGGCCTACAAAAAACGCATATAATATAATAGTGGGTCTAGCGCGACAAGGCTGTTTCAAAGTGAGCTTTACGGCTTCTTGTTTTTTTTTTTTTTTTTGAAAATAACTACCTTAAAGAGTGTTACTAAAACTTTTATAATTTTTAAAAGAGAGACTTTTGTTCTGTAATAAGATTAATAACACAATAGAAATTTTAATCTTAAGACATTTAAGGAATTAATCAAAGCCTATTCGGTTTTTAAATAAATGGGCAAATAATGAGCATAGCTAAACTATCTATAAATTTTTTGTTACTTTTTATCAAAACAAAATATGAAAACATCTTTTAGATATTTATTATCAAATACAAACATTTTTAGACCATTACAATTTTAAAAAAGTTTACTTAAAACAAATGTGATATGAAACAGGGACTATTAAAGATCAGACATCAAAATCGCAAAATAATATTAAAGAAAATATTTTAATGTTTTATGTTTTACGCGTAAAATATTTTTAAAGCGTAAAGCGTATACGCTTTACGCTTTGAAGACGTGAGGAAATTTGCGAAAAAACTAGAAAAAGTTGCTAAACATGCTAAGTTTGAAAAGATATTCTATAACGTAGCGAGAGGTACAGAATTTTTTTTTTTCAATTTTCATATGTAGAAAAGGTTAAAATTTCAATAACTTACGTTACTGATCAAAAATGTTTTATTTTACATATGTAAATAATAAAACTAAATATATAAATACAATAAAAAAATAATTTTTTTTTGACAAAAACAACTCAGTAACGTAAGAATATGATAAAATAGACACTCATTGATAAACGTTCCAAATTTCAACTGTTGAGCATGTAGCTTTGTTATAGAATCTTAGTTGGCCCAAGACAGGTTTTCAGTAGAAATTGCAAAAAACAGAAAAGTTATCCCAAATCAACAGCAATATGTTATTACAATCCGTTAAATGTAAATATTTATTTAACTAGGAAAGATTGATCTTATATATTTTTTTATTTAAAAATGAAAGCAATTATAGAAAAAAACTTTTATTTTAAAGTTAGTGAGTTTATATATATATATATATATATATATATATATATATATATATATATATATATATATATATATATATATATATATATATATATATATATATATATATATATATATATATATATATATATATATATATATATATATATATATATATATATATATAAAGTATAACGAAGTGACCTAAAAGACATGAAGTAAAAATACTTTAAATGAAATCTTCTAAAATAGTGCAGTACATTACAAACATGCGTTTATCGTACATTGTGAAAATGCGATTTAAATTTTTTTTTTTTATGTCGACAATAAAAAGTGTTTTAAATCGTTCTTAATGCTCTTTTTGACACATTTCAAAAAAAAAGTTAAAAACTTGCAACGTTTCCAGAAAACAATTTTTTAAAGGAAAAATTTAATTTTAATTTTAATATAGTACTCACTTTAAAAAAAAATTTATTCCGATTTTCTTATAAATGTTGATATACTTCTAAAATACTAGGCAAACATTGTACGCTAAAAACGTAGGATTTTCGAAAATACGTTTGATCCAAGATAACATCAAGAAGTTGAACCAATGTGCGAAAAAGAAAAAAATAGCGCCTCAAAAAAAAATTTTTTGTTTTTGTTTTGTTTATGACCAAAAAATATTTTGCTAATAAATCATCACAGGTGGTTTAAGGCCATCCCTAATTTTTATATACTTCATTTAAAACAAAAAAAAAGTTTTTTTCAAATTGTTTGTTGAACTGAACAATACCTAATTTTGACGGCCGTAAAAACAGTAATTTTTACGCCGAATGGAATAATATTTGTAATAAACAAAATGAAACGCAATGTTGTGCAAAGACAAACATGATGGCAGGGGCGGATCCAGCATTTTTTGGTCTTTGAGATAGCAAACTTCCAGACATGGAGCAAACTTCAAACATTTATATGTTTATACTTATGTCAAATAAGGATACTTTGCAAAAAATTGCGATGATTGGAGGCTGGGAACAAAAAAACCCTAAAGTTTTCGCCCCCCCTCCTGCCCCAAACGTGAGAGCAACAAGTTAATGAAATATTTTTTGTACTATTCTGGACTAGACTTATATTCATCAATAAATTTTATATTTTATAGTAAAACATTTTAGCGTTTGAAAATTATGACCATATAAAGTTTAAACCCCCCTCAATTTGAGGGGGCTGCAAATTTTATATGGTCATAATTTTTGAACGCTGAGAGATAATACTATGAAACTTTAAATTTATCGATGAATATAAGTCTAGTCAAGAATAGTATCGATGAATAGTATCGATGAATATAAGTCTAGTCCAGAATAGTACAAAAAATATTTCATCAACATGTTGCTCTCACGTTTGGGGCAGAGGGGGGGGGCGAAAATTTTGGTTTTTTTTTAATCCCAGCCTCCAATCATCGCAATTTTTTGCAAAGCATCCTTATTTGACATAAGTATAAACATACAAATGTTTGGAGTTTGCTCCATGTCTGGAAGTTAGCTATCTCAAAGACCAAAAAATGCTGGATCCGCCCCTGGATGATGGTGTGCTTTTATTTACGCAAATGTAATGACTTAGATTAATATAAATAATTTAAAAGAAGTACAAAGCAAAAGAAGATATGAAAAATTGATTTGTAAAATTTAATAAAGTTACATTATTCATATTTTTGTCGTAACTAATTCAACCAATTCTTCTGCAAGTAAAAAATAGAGATTTAACAAAATATTGTGAAAGACTTTTTCCAGTAAAATATGTTTTTGAAAGAATTCATTGCTTCAAGGATAAAGGTAGTAGTTGTAATCAACAACAACTAGTAATCTATTATTAGTTGAATTAACAAGTAGTTCTGATAAATTTATATCATTAAAAGCAGCTAAACAGTTTAAAGATACTGAGGATTATAGAAGTTTATATAAACGCTTATAAAAATAAAGTGGAAAGACAATCGCAATCGGTTTTGAAAAACAAAACAAAAATAATTGGTTTTGAAAATAATTAAGAGTTTCACTTAAGAAGCTAATATATTATATATTTTATATATTTATATATATTTTTATATATATATTATAATATTTTTTACCTAAAAAGGTGAATTGAAGAACACATTTGGTGATGGAGTTGTTTATCCAGGCAGCACATTCCATATTATAGAGTGTGCTGCCTGGATAGACCATTCCATAACCAAATGGGTCTTTAAAGGACAACATCAAAACAACCTTGGAATCATTAGATCATAGTTCTGATTTTGCACCAAAGTTAGTGTGCTGCTTTTGTATATTATTTGAGTAATAATATTAACTAAAAAAATGCTGTTAGATTATATAAAAAGATAAATCATATTTATTGTAATAAATTATTTTATTATTTTTAAAATCTCATTTATTTGTTAATAATAATGATCCAGCCAATAAATAGCTTTTGTAAAAAATTGTTGTTTGTTTATAAATTGTCCAGATTGAAGTTTGATCTTTTTGCGTCTACACATTTTGTTAATTAAATTTCTTTAATGCAATATATTTTTTCATATTAAAGTTTATTTTTGTTTGCTATTTTTTATTTGTTAGTTTCTGCTCCTCATCCAAGTTCCTAAATTTTGAAGAAACAAAATCAATTTTCATTTAGATAAATTACTTAAGTGATGAACATTTGATATGAACATTAAAACATAAGCAAAATAGCAGTTAAGATATTAAACCGATGTTTAATAAAAAATTGAATCAACCTAATGGACACCATAACAATTCTAGACTTTAAATAGACACTTGGGGTGGGTGACTCTTTTCATTTATCCCTTTATTCCACAAGAAAAGAAACAGCACAGAAAACTTTCTTTATCGAATTTTATAAGTCAAATAGTCATCGTAGAATTTTAAATCAGTGTTTTGAATTTTTCCCGCGAGACATGATAAAAAAGCACGTCACCCGCATACAAACGAAAGAAAATCGAAATTTACGGAGACTGGCCTTAAACCACCTAAGATTTAAAACCTTAAATGAAAAAACTTACCTCAATAAAACGCAATATTAAAAAATATTTAAAAAGTAATTTAGGCATTTACTTTAAATAAAAATACAATAGCTAAATTTTTTATAAATGTCGTTTTTGAGTGGGAAAATATACTCTAGAAACTTTAAAATTTAAATTCTAAATTAAACTTACCAATAAGTAATAGAAAAAATATACCAAAAATTTTCATTTGAAAGATATATATTTAACGAAAATCAAACATACTTCAATTTCAAAAAACGAAATCGTGTGCCATTAAAAGATACAGAAAAAAGTTTAATATTCTATGCTACATGTTTGTATATATTTATAACAGATAAAAATAAATGATATCGTCAATTTACAAATAAAAAGTGACATTGATTAGAAAAGAAACCTAGAAATATGAACGGAAGACGAAGAAAAATATTTGAATAAAAAACTTCTAACTACTAAATCGTTGTTTGTTATACGAATGTTGACATTCACAATGTTGACATGACGAATGTTGACATTTTCAACTTTCAAATAATATTATGATATACCGTGCTACACAGTAGAAGTAGTTTTTGAACCTTGCAAAGGTGGACTAAAATTTAATGCAACCAGTAGCGCTTGTACAGTTTTACAAAGCCTAGTCGGACTTTTTTCTTCAAGAATATCACCAGGAGAACATAGATCAACCTAACATTATATATATATATATATATATATATATATATATATATATATATATATATATATATATATATATATATATATATATATATATATATATATATATATATATAAACATATATAGAGTAAACTGGGGTAATTTTTTTAAATTTAAATAACTTAAGAACCAAAAAAATGCTATTAGAAAAATATTTTTATTGTTAATAATACTTTTTTAAACTACAAAAACTTAAAAAAAAAAAGAAATATTTTTATTTATGTGGACAAAAAAAACCGGTTGACAAAATTACTCTAAAAAACAAACCCTAAAAAGTTTACAACATAAATTAACAGTTAAATTTTTTTTTTTTAAATACAATTTACAATTGGTTAAACAAAATTCTAACAATACCAAATAAGCGGGAAAATCAACTAAAAATAGTTTTAAAATCATCATGAAAATTAAAAAAAATTTTATTTCACTAATTATAATACATGAGACATTCAAAACTTTGACACAAGTTTAAAAACTTATTGTTTTCTACATTTTATTGAGCAATAAAATTGTACTGTATTTTTTTTTGAATCGACATTTTTCACAAACCCATTTTAGACGAGCTTTTCTCACATTGGATCCAAAGGTTTTGCTTATCAGTTATTTAAACATAACTGATAAAGTACTGGGATTTCTCTGCGATACATGGTAATCGTAGGAGCACCATCACAAGTTCACGCGAAAATATCTTTCTCAAAAGAAATGGTAATGTTTTCTAAATGAGTTTTAACGAGGTCAACTGCAGAACAAGATTCTCACTAATCTCGCTCTTTAATACAAGATTATAAAGATTATAAAGTTCTTTTTCTCATGCATTATGTAAATTGATACTAACATAGCATTTCATCTAAATACTTGTTCACTTGTATGGTGTAATACTGAATCTTCTATTACTCTTCAGCTTTTCAATTAATATTTGACTTAATTGAGCCTTTTTCTTTTTTTTAACTTTTATGAAAAAGTCCAATGACATCGGATTCATCTTTTGGCAGATGTTTGGTGCATTTGGCTATTGACTCTTGTATAAAATTAGATCTCGTAATTGCTCTATTTAAAAATCTATCAACAACAGCTAGTTTAGTGACAATTTCTTGTCGGCTACAACATTTCATGAAACTAACAATTAATTTTTATTTTTAATCACTGGATCACCATTATCACCATCTTCATGGCTTGACTTATTTTGCATAATTCTATAAATTGTTTCAATGTGGTTTATCATTGCACCAGTAGAGTGATTGCTGTTTGAAATCTTTGTCAGTCTGTAAAATCGCATATTTTACTTTCTGCTTTTCCATTAGAATTTCTATTAGAAATATTTCATTAGAAAATTGTTCCCATATATTAATATTTTTTTGGAACTCATCTAGATAGGTTAAAAAAAGAGACTTTTATTTTGAAAGGAAAATCTAAAATTAACTGAAAAAAATATTTACATTTATGTGTTATTGATTCTAATAAACTTTTAAGGTTTGTTTATGACCAATTAGTGTCACGATACAACTTAGTGTAAATAATTGTCTGTATAGAGAGAGATAATTGTATTTATCTAGGGAATATAGTTTGTAAATTCATTTTTTATATTTATAAATTATGTGTAATTTTACAAAGAGATATCGACGCTGAACAAATACTGGATTAAAATTTTCAATTTTGAATGCTCAAGAAGTTTAAAACAATTAATTAACGGATATCGGATACTTTTAACGAATGTCGGATTCGAATACATGAGAAAACCGCAGGATTTAGGATTCGGTTTTTCGAACCCTATTGAAAATTGATCGATTTAAATAATCTTAATTGGTTATAAAACTAATATGACCGGAGAAATTATTTACCAAAACAATAAGAAGGGAAATAATAACTAACAATTCAAATTTCTATTTAATATTATTAGGTCGCAAAACTCCCCAATTAGCATTTCTGAAATTACTTTGAAACCGATCAAAATTAAGGGAAAAAATAAAAAATACAAAGATTCTTTGAAAAATTTTCTACATCTTCTGGTCTTTTAAATTTTTTGACGGAAATAAATAATTAGATTTTTAAGAGAATTTTTAAATTTCCTATGTTTTAAATTATCTGAATGCGTTGAATTTCAATTACATAAAATTTTTTTAAGAATGAAAGAACAATATTTATAGATGTTTATAAATCTTATTGATTTGTTTGCCAAAGTGAAAACAAACATCGAAATACCCATTTGCATATTTTGAAACGATACAGGCTCAGAATAGGCATAGAGGTATGCTCAAACTAATTCGCTGATTCTAAAAAGAGAAGCGTGTGCGAATTTATTGAAAAATATAATTAAAATTAAAAAAAGCAGATTTTAGAAATAAATATCTAAGTAATGATAAACTAAGTTTACCAATGTAAGTCTTATAAGTCCTTATTATCAACACAGGGAATTTATTTTATTTTAGCTCTTTTCAGAGTATTTTAAAAGGTATCAAAATCAATTTATACAAGAGAATTTTGGCTTTTAAAAATCTCAAATAAAGTTTCTCAATTTCATCTTGGTGATGAGGACTTTATCTGTTGTTGATTTAAAGAGATAGAAAAAAATCTACTTGTAAGTAAATTCAGAAAAGATCTATAAAAATGCGTTTTTCGTAAAATGTAAATTTAATTTTATTTGCTTAGCTTTAAAGAGTACTCAATACAAAAGTTTATATCCAGTTTTATCAGACAACTGTTGAAGAACTTAATTTATACTTGTTCTTTATTAAAAGTTGAACATCAGAGTTTTTTCAAAGAGAAAATTTGCCTTGATTGCAAAATTAGCTTACGCCTTTGAGGAAGATTCATTTTAATATTTTGTTTTGACCTTTATTATGAGAAAACTGATATTTTTATAACATTTATAACATTATAACATTATAACAACTTTTACAACATAACTCTAAGAAAACATTATCCATAAACTTTTCAACATTTTGTAAACATTTAGAAAAGCTACAATAGGGCAAGCTACAATAATTTTGGCAAGCTACAATAATTTAAATTGAAAAGATAGCAATTGAATATTAATACTCTATTTAAAAAATTTAACAGAGAAGTGAAATTTATGTTTTTCGAATGAACAATAATTTTTTGTACATTACAAGCAAGTAAAAGAATAGATGTCAAAAGAGTATGAACCTTATATAAAGACAAATGTTCGCATCAAAAGACAATAAAACTATGAGAAAAAAGAACAGAGTCAGTTGTCATGCTATGTGTTTTTGTTTAACCTAAAATGGCTTTAGTTATGTTGTAGCCTTTATGGATTAACTAATAGTAAATAGTTATATTTATTTAAGTAAAGTTATCTAAGTAGTAAATAGTTATATTTATTCTAGTAAAATTATCAAAGTAGCATTCATAAAAATTCAAAAAATAAAAACTTGATTTTATTGATTATAAAAAATAAATCATTACGAATAATTTTTTTTTTTTTTTTTCATATTTCCAGAGCTAACAAATTTTTTTTTGTTCTTTAAAAGTATTTAATGTAAAATTGCATTATGTAATAACGTTATAATTACAAATTTATCAAAGTTTGTTTTTTTATTTAATTATTATATAATTATAATTTATTTGCTATCAATTGCTGTTAAACATTAATTTTTTTTTATATATATTTTCATAAACTTTTTCTAATAGTTTATAAAACTACAATGTTTTGTAATCTATTTATTACTCGCTGATCTTGCGTTTAAAGCTAAAACAAATGAGATCGCAATAACTGTGGCAATCCCATTCAGAGATTTATATCACAGTTATTCAGAATTTGAGAATGTTGAAGGGTTAGCTATAATATCCTATGAGCAATACTCTCAAACTTATTGACATAAATTAATATAAAAATATATTAGCATCTATCACATTGATATTATTGATACATGTGAACATGAAGATATTAATATGAATATACTAATATGTAAAATATACAACTGTATTGGGAAATTTATTGCCTTATGCCTTAATATTTTGTTAACCAACTGTTAGCTCAGAGTGATAAAAACCCTACGAAAACAAACTACATTATTTAAATCTTTACTTTTAAAATAAAACTTTGTACTCTAAAAATCAAAGTTGTTTTGACGTTTTTTGTTTTGTTTTGTGAAATTTTGTAAAATTTTATGTACTTAAATGTGCAAATTCAATATAAAATCATAGTTTTTTGTTATTATAATTTGATTGTTTGTATAATTATTCAATTTCAATTTATTTTGATACACTTTTGGACATTTGTTTTGATTTTTAGTAATAACAAATGTGTATTAACATATTAATTAATGTGCTCTTTCAAAATCAGCGAATCTGATAGTGTATATATCTGTCTATCCTGAATCAGATAGTGTATATATCGAATCAGCAAATCAGATGGTGTATATATCTGTCTATACTGAGCCTTTATAAGATTTCAAAATATGCAACCCCTTCATACTCATAACAAAATACAGTTCTAAATGCATATAAATTTCTAAAGGAAATAATTTAATTATAAGTATATATAATCAAGAGTATAAAATAACCTATAAACAAACCATATAAATTTATTGATGCATTATACAACTTTTAACAGTAAAAATATGTAAAAGCATATAAATAGAACATGTTTTTTTTTTTTATATCAAATGTGTTTTATTGATAAAACACTTTTTAAAGACACAATTTAATAATACTCAGTATCATTTTAAACCATGTGTTTTATAAAAATCATATTGCCAAAAGAAATGTTATTATAAAACTTGAAAAAATACACTTTTTTCATTTTTAGTTAAAAAATGATCGTTATTATGCAATAAAATCTAAAATAAAAACTTTTATATGAGAAATTTATTATTTTTGAAACTTTTATAAAATTTTGCTTTATTTGAGTGCCAAAATTACATAATTTTGAAAAACCTTTTTTTTTGAATAATAACAGGGCCTGCTAATTTTTGTAATTAAAGTTGCGGATGGAAGACATTGTTCAATCCAT